ATATATGCCGCCTCACTTACAAGCAGTTTTGAGACAGTTGGTGCCTTAAGCAAAAGTACAAATGCCAGGTTGACACTATGAACTGACAATAGACAGATTCGCCATACAAGGAATACAATAATTCCTCACCGATTGTCCGCTTTTCTTTCGCCACCCAGGTGAAATCGCCCAGCTGCATTGCACGAACAATACATTTGACGCCATTTTTTGCCAACTTTTCCTGAAGATAGCCTCGATCCTGTACGCAGCCGACACATGGAGTTACTCATCAGAGATAAACAGGACGTACATTTTTCTAGCATATCTATCTCAACTGAGATAGACAGAAAGATCTAACTTGCACGAAGGCCTTCGCCTGAGTTGCAGTAGACAATATAGCGCTAGCAATTAGAAGCACAGCCCTTATTGTCGTCCCAATGTACACCTAATCTCTAGAGCAGTAATTGGCACAGATATAGCAAACGGCGTTCATGCCGAAATTAGCAAACAACCGAAAGAATGCAGTGGGAATGACCCACCTTCTTCCCGAATATCTCACGATTATCGATTACCATCCAGATATCATAGCTGCCACTGTCGAGCGTCACCTTCAAGGGCTCGATTTCGGCCGGGCTGCCAACGAATTCGGAATAATTTAATATAAGTACAATGTGGGAACAATCAATGAAAACCAGTGCTATACGTGCTTGAATCCACTTTCTTCATTCACAAACGCCGTTGCTGTGATTATGGGTGCGCACGATACACCATACAATGAAAATAGAAACCAACATAAAACCCCAGCAATGCACCTACCTGGTTGACGTGATTTGTGTGGCGGCTGAGTCTGCATTTTTTTGGGTATCGGAGCTCTTGCTACGAATGGGCTTTAACGGCTTTGGGTACGTCTTGTTGGCTGCGTGGACAAACACCGAGAAGATTGCGCCGTTGTTGGCACTTGTTTGACCTTCACCAAAGTCCTCTTTATGGAGGCTTTGTTTTGATACCGGACTTCTTGATCGCGAACTCACTGAGCTTTTCCCTCTGATGGTACTACTCTCCGTATATGCGTGTGTGTCACTGGAACCTTCCTCGCTGGTTGTACCGATATCCGTGTATGCGCGTGTGCGCCTTGATGAGTCATTCCCCTTGTCCGTACTGCAGTCGTATGCATTTATACTATCTGACTTCGTCGATGCCGTGAACAGATTGGCTGCACTTGTCGATGTGGCTACACTAAAAGCATCCCTCTCTACAGTGATAAAATCCGTATCTGGAGATAAAACTGACGAGCTTTGCATAGGATTTTCGAGGTTCTTTTTGGATGTAGCTAGTCTCTCACGCAGGGGTATGTTGAGCATGATATCGTCATCGTCTGAGTCGATGACTACACACTCCTGCCTTGGGGCTTCCGGTAGTATATGTGTTGCTGTGCGATCTATTGAAGGTCTTGGACATTCTGTAACGCAAAAAAAACAGAGCTTGAGAAAGGGATTTGCTAATCCTAAGTAAATATCGAAATAAAACGCGTTTTAACCGAAGGAGAGTCAGAATAATAATATCAAAAGGAGTCAATATGTAGGCCATGGATAGCTCACAGCCCATCCGCAAGATCGATTCAATCGATGCTACCTTTGAATGAATTATAGGAGGGTTTGCTGTGTTCTGGCGCCGTATTATCATCATCGGTCAAATCCAGACATATTGCTTCAGGTTTGGGAAGTGGTGTGGAAGCTGACCTTTTCATCGGAGTCCTGTCTGGTACACTTCGACTAGCCAAAGTCAAAAAGAAGGGGTGAGTGTATAAAGGCTTGGAATACAACTGGCTGGCATAGACTAGTATCCGAGCATTGCCGTACAAATTGCAAGTCACAGAGTATCAGACTCGAAACTAGTGCTGACACCAACTCGCGGAGAGAGATCCCCATGTGAGCTTTAGCACACGCGATCAAGCGTTCCCACCCAATAAAACACTTGCACATTGGACGTAGCAGTACAAATGCAACCGATTGTCGAGGTGTACGTGACCTGCGTAGTGATAATACGAGGGTGAAGCTGTAACGTTTACTAAGAGTAAACGATACGCTACTTATGCAAACATCGACACAAAGAGAAGGTTTGGCGATTTAAATCCTTGCAGTCTCACCTGCAAGGAAGCGGCACGGCCACTGTGGGATCAAGCAAATACGCGAAGCACGAACCAGGACGCTCTTTCGTCAAACGCAATGACATCTTGTCGGATATTAATTTGGATATAGCCCGGATTTCTGCCAGGGCGCTCTTACTATGTACATTGATCAGGTAGCCCATTTTGTGCTTCCCTGTGGTCAAATCCAGAATAAAGTTGGCTACTTTTGTTGGTTGTGACTTGTCCACATATTCAGGACTTTTATCTAGGAGGTAAATTGAAAGCTTGCTAATCGCTCGTAGCAAAATTGGACAGAAGACGATGTAGCCAGCAAATATGCATACACGTTACAACAGTATCAACTCAAGCTGGCCTCCCTACAATTGTGAGCCCTGCCACTAAACGCCATTTCAACACTTAATACAGGTACGCCGAGCTCATTACAGTACTCAAAACCGACACGTTTCGATTGCAGGATGAGCTAGATATGACCAGCATACAATCAAAACTACATGAGTCGTATCATCTCGTTTTTCCCATTTACTCATCTGAACCTCCCTTCTACGCGTCTGATGAAGGTTTGATACAAGTGCGCACACTATACTCGGGATCATAATATTTCGATTCCACAAGTAGTTAGGCATGGCCAACTAGAAAAACAAAGTTACATGAGGTATACATTGATTCATAACTTTGAACCAGGAAGCTTGAGAGACTTCCCTCGACAGGTCTGATCAACACTTGATACTGGTGCACACAACCAACTGACTACTCAAAATACATGAAAAACACATAACATCATAAATCGTAACTCTAGCCCAACATACTGGCGCGACTTGCCTCTACCCGCCTACACGCCTGTTCAAAAACACATGAAAAACACGCAACACCATAATCCTAACTTTGTCCCAACACTCTGGTGAGACTTGCCTCGATACGCCTGTTCAGCACTTGATACAGGTGCGCCGAGCTCGTCGCAGTAGTCGAAGTCAATAGGCTTTGCTGCGCTCGTATCAAAGCCGGAAGGGGGGCCAGTGGCCTGGTTCTCATGTAACACGCCAACTTTCACATGACTTTGTCTAGTACGTTCGCCTATATTATCTGCGGACTCCCTTTGTGATTCACTAGTAGATCGTTCCCTGCTGCCCGTATTCTTCGCAGCCCCACACCCATCCCAACTCTCGGACTGGCACAAATCAGCGCCTCCTCTTCTACGCGAGCTAGGCACATTTTCAGGTAGTCGATCCTTACTCGTGGCTCTATTTGCGTTGGAGGGAATGGAGGTCTTCGACGATGACTTCGTTTCTTGGAATGAAAAGGAACTCGTATATTCACCTGAGTACGAGCTCGCATCCACACTGTAGTTAGCAAACTGGCTGGTTCTGTATTGGCTTGTGTACGAACTCGCATCCACGCCATTGTTAGTACACTTGCTGGTAGTTTCTGTGGTCTCGCTGGTATATTCGCTGCTGGCCGAAGACGTCCTTTCCGTTGTTGACGACGATGTCGATGTAGTACTTTGCAGATTCGTGTTAAATACAACCTTGCGCATACTTGGCTCGTAGCTTCCTTTGCACACATTCACACTGGTCACGTAATAAGTGGAGTCACTGTCTGCTGTTCGTGTAGAAGTCGCGGCTTCTGTGTAGATAATGTCACTGTTTGATGCTTTTGCCTTCTTCCGGTCTCTTTTAGATAGTAGTGTAGTTCCTTCGGGTTCACTTGTTGCTTTTCGCTTGACACTGGTTTTCTTCTGCTTGTCACCTGATGCGGACATAGCGAAATGAGCATGACGACTATCAATTCGACTGAAAAATCTCATTTAGAACTGCATCTAACAGCAGACGATTGCAGTGACTAGCATCGACTGCGTCGACACGTGAACGTGCACGAAACCGAAACCATAGACGTCACGTGCGTCGGTACATATAGCAATAAAACTCGACAACCACACATGTGAGCTAGAACCCCGCCAGCTTCAAACCCGCCAACAACAATAGTCGTTAAAGCACTTGCGCCAATACACCAAACCGCAGAATTTGTGTAAAAATCAAATCGAGCCCAACCCCGCCAAAGCACTTCCATGCAGCAGTATATGCCTGAAACCTCGCAGACGAAACTCCGCTGAAAGCACATGAATCGGCACGTTTAGGACCCATTTACGTCCATACTACTTGAACCTACACATATATATGCTCAAACTCACCGACAGCACTTGCGGGTGCTTTGGCAGCCGAGGCTTTCCTAGGTGCCGGTGCCCTTTTAGCTTTTGCTTTGGATCTGGCATCCTCCTGCATTTTCTTGATAATCTCCACCGCCGTGAATCTGGGCTGAAAGCTAGAAGTCTCCGAATACAACAAGAACTCTGCCATCTCGAGGCCCGCTTCCGATAGGGAAAATTTTGCAGGCACTCCGCCTGTTTACAAATGAGATTAAATCTGAGGCGAATTGGTATCTGAACAAGTGTTGCATAAGCTTGTTAAATAGATAGGTCTTAATGGAAAAATATAGCAGTGCAGTATACTAGTACACCTCTAAACTATGATACCAGTGCCAAACATTAAGTTAAGGTTGGTATATGGCAGCTTATTCTCATGCCGACAATTTGTGAAACTGCCACTTGACACTATGGCCCCTCGTACAAGTAGTAGTGTGGAAAGTTCATCATAGAAGAAGCAAAATACCTTGTTTGATGACAAGGCCTTTGGTCTGGAGGGTTTTGCAGGAGCTCCAGGCAGTATGCAGCTTGCCAGCCGACGCAATTGTGAACGACGAGTCACAGTACTTCTGTCCACTGAGAGAAGCGATGCAAATGTAATATGAACGGAGTTAAGTGATCGAGTTCAGGGTAGGTTCGTGATCAACATCGTGCGAGAAAGTGAAGTTGGGACTAACACGACGCGCCCTTCAAACTTGGATGGACTCGAACAGGGATTGAAGTAAGCTTTCCGAGACGAACACTCTACAGCCGAGCGATACATTCTCAAAACCACACAAAACAGTCCTTAAAGACCACGTGTGAGCGACAATACCTTTCGATGATATCATCTTTAGAGAGCATCCCGTCACCGGCTCCCTCTTCGTAGAGTGTCTGTGCACAGTCATAGGGTGGTATGGTTCAGCGTTACGGGGTGTATTGAAGCTTGGATAAACTACAAGGTCAATACATTGTAACAAATCTGCAATCAGATTGACTCGAAACCGCCCAGACCAGCACGCATCCTTACATATTCACATTCGTGTCATATTACACAGAATCTGAATTTGTTTGTAGACAAGTAATCCGAACTTGTGTCGAATACACAAAATCCTAATTTGCTTAGAGATACACCCATTTCAACTATATGGCACACCACGCAAACACCGAAATTGCTTAAACGCACACTTAGCAGGTACAATAGCGATTCTTACCTTAATAATCGCATATGGCCCGGATCGATATGTGGGGATGTACATCTTGGATGATTTTGCCCTGTGCAGCGAGAAACAGAACTCATTTAGGACAGATGAAGCCATTTGGTATAAAATTCACTTACGATTTACTTGAAAACCACTGAGCCACCTCAAGTCGACTGCTATTGAGCTACGTAGCTTGATTCCCCAGGTACTTCACATTATAGCGCTAAAGTAAGTCAGTGGATTACCGCTCGGCCTGTGGAAAAGGTATTAGCAACTATTCAGGGCTGATTCGGCTTGGAATGCTTGATGTTTTGCCAATGTATGCCATGCAACAACACGACAAATAGGATCAAAATCGTATATAGCTTACGCCCCATGCAATAAGTTCACGAGAGTTCTGAAATCTGTTGCAATAATATGTCTCAATCTAACCACCAGCCCTCGCAGAGTGGTCCCCGAAATAATGGCAAGCAGCCACATACTGACCTGAGCGCCTTAATCGCCACAGGTGAGCCATCCTCGGCCGCGTGGTCCTCATCTTTCTTCAGTACACCTAGTTGCGTCGTGCCGAGGCGTATGCACGTGTTTATCCGGTCACCCAGTGTAGGCCCGATACCGGGAACAAGCTGTGTTCATGATGAGTACGGAGCAGTCACACGCAGTTATACCTAGTACGCAGTACTCGTACAGTCGTGAAGAACTGGTTGCGTTTTTGTAATATTGAGTGGTAAGACATACTTCTATTAGGTACAGAATACCCGTGAAGTCAAGATTCGAGCGCATGTTGAATGTTGAGTGTAAGAGCGTACTTCTAAGCAGGACAATACTCGGAAAGTGAAATGACGGGCCGTGTGTGTGTCACATGAAGTCAAGATTCGAGTGCATGTTAAATGTTGAGTGTAAGAGCGTACTTCTAAGCAGGACAATACTCGGAAAGTGAAATGACGGGCTGTGTGTGTGTCACATGAAGTCAAGATTCGAGTGCCTGTTGAATGTTGAGTGTAAGAGCGTACTTCTAAGCAGGACAATACTCGGAAAGTGAAATGACGGGCTGTGTGTGTGTCACATGAAGTCAAGATTCGAGTGCATGTTAAATGTTGAGTGTAAGAGCGTACTTCTAAGCAAGACAATACTCGGAAAGTGAAATGACGGTCTGAGTGTGTGTCACATGAAGTCAAGATTCGAGTGCATGTTGAATGTTGAGGACAATACTCGGAAAGTAAAATGCTTAACGGGCTGTGTGTGTGTCGAGTGATAGGTGATAGGTGTTAAGGCGTGCTGTTATCAGCTACCCAATACTAAAGAGTCAAGATGCGAGAGTATGTGAGTGTATGTTGAGTGCTGAGTGTCGAGTGATAAGCAGTACGCCTAGTACGTATGCATTTGCCAAGGCACCCGAGTTCGATAGCTTAAATATACTGGCAATGTACACCTAACAGCTCCCAGACCAGATCGATTGATTGTGATTGATTGTGTCTCGTATCGAGGGGTAAATGACGTACTGTATGTGACAGCTAGAGCGTCGATAGGTGTATACGACTGAATAAAGATGTTCGCGTCGTATCTAATTACTTGTCCCCTCCCCTTGTTCAATCACAGCCATGGTGTGTTCGCGAGCGAGCTTATGACCTTGCGACCAATCCCACGTACCACAAAGGGTTTTAAACAGGTCAACTATAATAGTCACCATCCGCAACTTGTAATTTGTATTAAAGAAAGCTCAAACTTGATTTTTCCGCAAATTCATCACAGAATGGGGAGTTAAATCTCCAACAAAGAGATGTTCGATCCGCGCAAAAATGCTCTGCGCAATGGCTATAGCCGAGAAGCACCGGTTCGCAGTGCAGGCGGGCGTGTTTATTGCGGTCAAATCCTGCAACACACAAACGATCCGAAAAACGTACTAAAATCAATCAATCACTATCTTACTCACACTGAGACAAGACATAATCACAGGTTCAAATACACACTCACCCACGCCTCTTTGCCGTTAGTGGCAAGCCTGTCTTGGGCTTTTACCCCTCTGACGGCCTTCCGAAAGTTAGCGTTCTTGTAGCACCATGATGTTGTAGCACACAACCAATCTGAAAAACGCACCAGTATCCAACTTTTACCACGGTGAGAGTTCTAACCATCTCATAATCACATACTCGCACCAAGACGAGCCAAACAACCACAATGGCAGATGCGCACCTACCTGGGCCTCTTTGTAGTTGGTGAAAAGCCTGTCGTGAGCTCTCATCCCTCTGATGGCCTTCCGCAGGTTGGCGTGCTCATAGTACTATATTGGTGTAGCACACCAGCAATCTACGAAACGCTCTACTACCCAACCTCTATCGTGTTGAGGTATATTCATCATCACACACCCACTCACTCATCTGAGACACTACATTGTCACAAAGACAAATGCACACCTACCTGGGCCTCTTTGCCGTTGGTGACAAGCCTGTCATGGCCTCTCACCCCTCTGATAGCCTTCCTGAGCGAGTGCTCCTTGTTCTGGTTCTGCGCTTGGCGTGCTGCTTCTAGCCACTCCTCCAGCAGCTGCACCAGCCACAGATTGATCACCTTCTTAGGCGCCATGCTGTCGAGGTAGGGTCTAGTTATAGTTCAATATACACATCTAATTAATGTCGATTGATATGTTGTTTATGCTATGTGCCTCTGTTGAGGTTATACTTTGATCAATTCTTATAGATCACTGAACCTTTCATAGGGTGTCAGGAAGGCATCTATGCGTCAATTCTGACAGATATTCGTGGGTTCGACAACAACGAAGGTCTTTGATTTGCACTCTGTAGTATGGTTTCCTAATGTACTAGATCAAGATACTCGCGCCAACTACCGAGCATGTGATAGTATAGAAGACATTGTCCATCTATCGTGTCTAAGTGTGTTCTCTTGTTTGCTTACACGGGTGCACATCAACCCACACCATGATTCGAACTCCTACGCGCCCACTTAAGTTCGTTCAAACACCGTTACTCGTGTTGGCGTCTATGGTACCAGTCCAGCGTTTGTGGAATTCAAAGCACAGCAATAGCGATTCATAAGTCAATAAACGAGGGATAGCTCTAGCTTAAGAGAATGTTATGGGTGATGCATCATATCGTCTGCGAACACTAGTCAACGCATGGTCGCATGCTATGTCGTACAGGTTTGTGCCCTCTGGCAAACAGCAGAGAATGAATATATATTTATAAACGCATGTGTATGTACAATAACAACACTTGTAAGATGAATTACATTCTTATGTTGTATCAGAACAGAACATTATATAAAATCATACAGTCTCAGTGAGACACTTATCATGAATTTAGGAAAGGCTATGGACGGTCACAGAACTAGCCGGCATAAACTTGGCGCCAAAATTACTACATATATATACATATATTTATATTTTGTGTTCTATTTTCAGAAGGCTATGTATTATTACATATTATATATGTAGTACAAAGGCTATCTGTGCGAACTCCCTCGCAGAACAGTATAATGTATATACATACGTCTCTCTTGACACTATAAAAAGACCGAAGAAAGAAATGGCTGGTCAATCTTACAATGATGCACTCGCAGGAAGGGGGAGTGAGAATATGGATCACATGGATATACAAGATGAACACGTAAGCAATACTAATGGGCGTGCCCATACACATCCACACATCGATAATGGAGAAGTAGGTACACAGAGTGAGAGAATGGATACAGGAGACGAAGTAATGGACACACATGAGGGATTTTCGGACACTGAAAGTGAAGCAAGTAAACAATCGGCACAGACGAGGAATCCGATCCAGACCGAGACAGCACAGGTGGAAGCTATGTCAGCCATTGTCGCTCAATTGAATACAAGTCTCAAGGCAACGCACGAGAATATCAAGGTAGGTTGAATCCCAAACCACCACCCCTTCTCTCCCCTCGCATGTTAATCATTGTGCATCTGATTGTTTGTTTAATATGTATATGTGTGCCCCTGCTTGCTTATATTTCTGTAGCGATGCATGTTTGCTTGCTTACAAGTTTGTATCGATGTGTCCGATATAACAGAGACAGCGCAGGTAGTAGTATTGTCGGCCATTGTCATTGAATTAAATACAAGCCACGAGGCAATGTACGAGAATATTGAGGCAGGCTGAAGCTAGCGAAAAAGGAATATGAAATATGTATTTTGTGTAGGTGCTTGCTTATGAAATGTCTATACTTGTGTATCTGCGTGTTTGTAAAATATCTATCTGTAGATACTTGCTTGCTTGTAATAAATTTTATATGTATACCTGCGCTCTAGTACAATATTTATCGATTATATATGCATCGCATATGCATATATATAAGCGTGCAATCACTTTTGGGGGCGAGATGATCTACAGAACACAGAACAGCATTCCACAACGTTCACGGCAGACGGAAGGATGTGTGCCTTGCCTAAAATATATACATAGGACACGCACTGAACTATGCAACTGTTGGTGATAGAGTGGCGTACACTGAGATGGAAAGAAACATAATGAATATTTTTCACACTTAAAAACGAGCGCATACAAATACCAGCATGCATATAGAGGTGGGCATGGCTCACCCGTGTGTGAGGAACAGATGGGGGATAAGGTGGAGAACTCAATCTGTACTGTACAGACGTAGCGCTAAGGCCTGTCGAGTACATACACATTGAGCACACGAAAGCTCTCTTCATCTATACACTCATCTCTAGCTCATTCCTCTGGAGCCTTAAATCCGATTATCTGAGGAAGTAAGCCCCCTCTTGCTAGGGTTAGTACCACATGAACGTAAAGTTGTGTAGCGGCAACTTTAAACCTTAAGATGCAGCTGCAATGTGTCAGCAGTAACATGCATGTTAATCTGGCTTGAGGTCAGTCGGGCTGAGGTGTACGGGTGTGTATGCTGGAGACCGTTGGCTAGTACGCTGCTATCTGATATTTTCTCATTTTTATATAGTAGCCCTAATAGATCGGTCAAATACACAGGCATGCAGTGGTAGGCTGTGACAGGGTGTCTTTGAGTTGAGTGGAGGTTAGTTGATGGTTATAGGGCAGCGCTGGAGTTTAGCTGCTATCAATCGAATATCTGTACTGCTTCAATAGTGACTGTATCAACACACACACACATACATACATATACATTTCGCTTACCCAAGAAACCTACCAACTGTCCGTAGCCATCGCCGTACCCGCTATTTGGGTGGAAGTCAATAGATGCACTACCTACCACAACGCCGATGATACTGTCTGCGTCATGTGTGTTAACGAGGCCTTTCGCTTTCGAACTGTATTTGAGTTAGATGGTATTTCGTCCGATGTCCGAGACGGAAAATCTGGTGGACGCTTGGATCAACACTTTGGAGAAGGCGCATACATTCTCGACTCTGATGCTACACCCTGATTACAGACCAAACTCCGGTAAGAAGCCTGTTTGTTTGTTACGTCAAGAATGCAGCGAATTATACGAAACACACTGACTATGCGTATGTCTATGTGTGAATAAGATTGTATATACTGTTCGCATTGGCTCCAATCGCTTAGCTGATAGCGTCGTTTATTGAACTTGTCTCAGACGCTATCTGTACCATGTACTAGTGTGTGCGCTCTAAAAATAGAGCTGCGACATCTACCCCAACCTATGGCAGGTGCTTGTGCTTTACGACTCAACTATTCTGCTCCTTTGTGGACAGTGAACCCTACTCCATTTGTGGCCGGGACCAACAGTAACAGTAGTGGCGATCGATCGCGCTCGCAACTGAGTTCTTCGCAAATACCGCAATTGCCTCGGTAGCCAAACATATTAACTAAATAAGCCTCATCAACCAGATGTAGTGCCGAATATTAATGGACAGCTGAGTCAGTACGAATATGCGTTAGGGAAGTCGTTCGCCGAACACGCTCTGAGTGACGAATGCTCCATTCGGATAATCAATTGATGGGAATTTCGGCCGAAACGCCAATTCATAGTATGAGGTACTAATTACCAATCCATACAGTAGGGAATTGCCATAACACGTTACCGACTTGATTTCAACGGGCATCGTGCACATCATTTGTAGAGAATGTGATGCATGGATTAATGGATGGTAACAGAATATATATATTTATATATGTATATAT